CAGCTTCATCATCTGGATCCAGGTGGGCAAGCTAACTGAGAGCCATCAGGCTCCAGCCAACACCTCTAGTTGCATGGAAATTAATTATATGCCATTTTCTAATTATACCAGAAACTCACTTTCTCCCCTTTGAAAATCCCTTCCTCGATGGGAATTTTTCTTTCATGCTATATTCTCCTCTTGGTTTCCTGTCCAATTTTCCTATTTTTTTCCTCTGTTGTTCAATTGAGATGTGAAAGAAGTTGCAATCTACCTCTAGACCCAGGGCACCACATCCTTTCATTCATTCATTCACTCTGCTGAATAGGCCCTGTGCTGGGTACTGGGACACAAAGGTAAATATCATGCTGTCCCCACCCTCAAAAGTTCTCAATTCTTGCTGACATCCTAGGAAGGCCCAGTGAAATAACATCAAATATTTGTGAGAGAATTTCCCTTCAAGACTTTCACTAGATCAGTTGCTCTGACCTTTTTAAGGAGGCAAAAGGAATAGAAGAAGGGGGCAGCCAGCCAGGATTATTTGCTCCATTTTACAAATGGAAAAGCTGAGTTCCAGAAAGGGGAGGGAAGACAAGGGAAGGAAAGGAGCTAAGTTATTTTATGCGTCAGGCCTTGTGCCTTTTTGTTCTCATACATGCCGTGAGGTGGGCCTTATCACCGTTTTACATATGCAGAAACTGACACAGACGTTAAGGAGCTCATCCAAGTCACCCAGTCCGTACACAGCAGAGCTGCGCTCAAACACAGGTGTGACCGCATAGCAAAGCTCTCAGCCTGCCTACTCAGCTACTACACTGTAGGTCAGCGGTAGATCTGGGAATCTCCTGCCTTCTAATCCTCTGCCAGGTCTTCTAGGCCAATGGTTCTTTTTTTTATTTTTATTTTTTTGTTGCGGTACGCGGGCCTCTCACTGTTGTGGCCTCTCCCATTGCGGAGCACAGGCTCCGGACGCGCAGGCTCAGCGGCCATGGCTCACGGGCCCAGCCGCTCCGCGGCATGTGGGATCTTCCCGGACCGGAGCACGAACCCGTGTCCCCTGCATCGGCAGGCGGACTCTCAACCACTGTGCCACCAGGGAAGCCCCCAATGGTTCTTAAATTTGAACATGCATTAGAATCACCTGGAGGGCCTGTTAAAACACATATTGCTGAACCCCACCCTCAGAGTTTCTGATTCAGTAGATCTAGGGTGGGCCTGAGAATTTGCATTTCTAAGGAGTTCCCGGGTGATGATGCTGACTATGCTGGTCCAAGGACCACACTTTGAGAACACCGTTTTTTCTCTAATTAGGTGAACCAATAATTCTCTCTTTTAAAAATAATGACTCTCTTTCCTTCCTTTCCTCATTTCAAAAGTAACACAGATTTGTAAAACACAGTATATAAAATATGGAACATATAGAAAAATTAGAAGCAGAGGCTAGAATTCACCTGCATTCCTCTGCTCAGAAATAAGCACTGGTAGCAGTCTGGCATGTCCCTTAGTCTTTTTTCAACATCTGTGCTGGTAGGAAGCAGGGTAGCACATTGGTGTGGGCATCCTTTTGGCCCCTGGTAAGATCTCAGCTCTTCAGTGCGATGTTGGGAAGATATTGCCTGGGGCAAGCTGAAATCCCCTCACCCTTAAATTTATACTCCCATCCTTCAGTGGATTGCTGGGAGGGTTACAGGAGATGATGTATTTATCAAGTACCGGACACTGTGTCCGCTGTGGAGTCAGCGCTCAAGAAAACGCTTGGCTGTTATTTTTGTTTTACCGGAGGGCACTTAGGGTATGCTATTTGTGTTTTCAGCCCTGCAGTCCTTCCTCCCCCTCCTCCTCTATGTGGACCCCTGACGACCCTCTTGGCTCCAGGCACCGACCGGGCCTCCTGGGCGAGGGCAGCGGGACGAGTGGCAGGGACCTCCGCCGTTTGGGTCGTCGAGGGACCTCTCGGACCGGGGCCCAGTCTGCCTGTTTTCTGCCTGTTTTACAGCCCGGCTTTAACGAGGATTTTTAACTTTTCATTCACCAGCAGCGTAGCTCCGACTTTTAATAACACACCTCGTGCACGACAAAAATTTGCTCCTGGCAATCACGGTTTCGACCACAAAACCACAGCGGGAGGCGTTCCTAGTTAACTCTTTCAGCGCTGCAGGCAGTCTGGAGCTCAGTGCTCCCGGAGCTTGGGTGGAGCGGTGGATGGGTCGGGTCCCCCTCCCACCCTCCGCTTCGGCTCTCCAAGATTTCTGGGACGAAGATGATTCCAGACGGCGGCTGGGGGCCCAGACTGCGGCCCGAGCGGGGCTGCAGAGGGGAATCCTGGCGCGCCTCGCTCACTTCCCTCTCTCTCGTCCATTCGATAGATCTACTACGTGCTGATCACTTAATCTTAATCCCCTCGTATCCTCGACGGGCTGGACGGGACAGCGCAGGCCGGCCAGGCACCCAGTAGGCCCTCGCGCACTCTAAACATGGGACTCTAAACATGGCGGCCAGCCTGGGGCCCGTCGCCCTCTCTGGGAGCTCTTTTCCCGCGAGAAGTAGGCGTCCAGCAGCGACTTCCTGCACCCTCGCCGCCCCAGGATCCCTTGCGACCGGCTTTAGCCCCCCGAGGCGCCCAGGAAAGCGGGAGGGAGGTACCCGAGGTTTGCGGAGTCCTGGAGGCTGGCAGATGCTCCCGGCCCGACCACATAAAAGTCCCGTGCGCTCCCCCCGCCAGCTGCCTCGAGCTGGCTTTTAACTCCACCACCTTGGCCTCCATGCTCCTCAAGCGCCGGCCTTCGAAGTGGCCTAGTAATAGGGCTCACGTTTATGGAGCTTCTCCTCCGGGCCGGCTGGCCTACATACGGGAGCTCACTGTTTCCCTGACCAGGTGGGTGTTTATAGTCTTTATTGGACAGAGGAGGAAACTGAGGGTCAGGGAGGAGAAGCAGATTCACCAGGACCCTGAAGTTGCTAAGTGGCAGAATTTAGAGTCATGTGCAAGTCCGGCTTTTCCTACTACGCCAAGGCCCAGCAAGAGGTGGTGATTCTGTCGGGATCAGAATGGATGCTAGGACCAGTCCTCTTAACTCTACACGTTTGGGGGGAATGCAGCAGCAGCAGGAGCTCAAAACTTGCAAGCCAAGCAGCGGATTCCACCCCTCAACCCCCCTTATCAGTAAAGGCACTTGAGCCCCCAGGCACTGAGACACTGTCATTGTAATCTTTAGTGGTGACTTCAGAGTCTGCCAGCAATTACACAGCAGGCACAGGTTCCCCTCACCCCACCCCAACCGGAGAAGCCTCTACTGTCAGGAGTTCTGACTTCAAACTCAAATCATTAAGGAGGAGAAATGCAGGAAACCTTTTTGTTCAAGTAACCCAGCTTCAGGACATTTACCCCCTAAGGGGCACCAATGAATACATTTCTGTCCGCAGCCTCTGCTGTTTTAACCAACAGATCTGAGTGGGATGGAGACACATCAGAAGATGTTTTTTGTTTTCAAAGTATGGAAAAATAGAAGGCAAGAGGTTCAGAAAAGCTCATTGATTGGTTATTTCTGTATGAAGTAACAAGGCTATTTTAGATTGCTCCTTACCAGCCTTTAAGTCAATTGCTTGTCTAAAGTTACTGGATACCCCAACAGCTCCATTAAGTGGGTCCCAATATGGCCACAATTTACAGATGAGGAAACACATTCAGACTGGTGAAGTGACTTGGCCAAGGTCACACAGCTAATTAGTGGCAGCTGGAACTTGAACCCAGGTGTTGGCTCCACTGCCCCTGTTCTTATCCTAGTTGTTAACATGTTGTCAGCCCCAGGGAGCCCATTCAAGAGAAATCCGATGCCCAGTGATTGTACCATGAACATAGTTAGCTAACCCCAGAGAATCCAAGAGCTGACTGGTATCGTGGAAACTTGTCTGCGGTCAGGACCCACCAACTGCTCTGCTCTCAGGTCTTCAAGTTCTTAAAACAGTCTATTAAGGAGTAGCTAGAAAAAAAGATTGTTCAATCCTTGACTCTGCCTACTCACCTCTGAGGGTGGCAGGAAGAGGACAGTCTGTATTTCAGAAGCCTGGCTTCTGCCAGCTTCCCAAACCCAGGCTACGGCAGCCCAGAATCCCAGCCTCATCCCACCTTCTCTGAGGTCTGGACCCCAAGCCAGGGGTCCATGGTGAAAGTCATCATCAGCCAGCGGGGATTCTAAATCCCAGATATGGGCAGGAAGGCACCTGTGTCCTGTCAGGCAATAGAGATGACCTCACTGAAAACCACATCTCAGCCTCCTCAGCCTTAGAACCGCCTCTGGATGAAATCAACCACATTTTATTTGAGTGCATCTTCAGACTTTGGCTCTGTGCTAAGCATTTTACAGCCTTTATCACACAACTCTCTCAAGAATCCTACAAAACATTCTTGTACCCATTTTCTAGATGAGGAAAATGAAGTGCAGGTCAGTTGAATGACTTGCCCAAATCAAGATCTCAGCCCATGAGGAATGGAGCCTGGATTTGAACCTAGGTCAAGCTGACTAAAGAGTGCATATGTTTAACCAGCACACTTCACTTTCCCACTTGGGACTGTTCCAACCCAACAAACAAGTCCCTTTAGAGAAACCCAACTCTCTGCCTAAGACAGTTCTTAGAACCACCTCAAAGAAGTTCCTTTTGGCAAGAAGATAGAAAGCCTAGATGGGATTGGAGCTGTCTCTGATTTCCAAGGCCCCCTTCACAGTATCAGAAAGTGGTGCTGAAAGCCTTCACAGTTTCAGTCCTGTGTTTCCCTACCTGGCTCGAAACTGCTCAGCAGAGAGAGAAAGGAAAAAAAAAATTTTTTTCCCAGGGAAACACTCAGCTCTAGCTTGAGACGGGGCTTGCCTCAGCACGCCAAAATGAGATCGTCAGCCCATTCATTTAACCTTACAAATTGCTCTGTGAATCTTGGCGCCAGCCTCCCTGCTCTTTCCCCTTCTAGAAACCCCATCCAGACTCCATGCTCACAGCGCGCCAGGCATCCACCGGTGTTTACTCACTCAAGTTCATTCGACATCTTCCTGCTCCCAGGCTCCCAGGCTTGACGGATGGATCGGCACCGCGCACCAAGGCTCTGCTGACCGCTCGTCTCTAATTCTTGCCTGACACAGACATTCCCTGCCCAGGGAAGTGTTTGATTTATGTTGAGGTTTCAGTGACGGGATTCTGCTGACAGGTAGGTTCCCGGCAGCTCTGCCGCTGATTGGCTACAGGTACAGGTGCCGGCGACAGCAGGTATACCTCAACAGGTGCAGCTGTTAACTCATGGCCTGCCGAGCTGGGGGCGGAGCCATGGGTGGAGCTGGCCAATTCCTTCCTTGGTGAGGGGGTGGGGGGTGGAGATTAAGGAGGAGGGAGGAGAAAAAAATGTTGGAGAGAAGATAGCCAGAGGAAAAGTACAGGGACAAACAGATACTTGGCTGCAGGAAACCTCGATTCCTGTTTCTAGTTAGTATCCTGGATACCCCGGAACATCCCCCCACTCCCGCAAATTCCTTGGGCCCCTCTTCTACCCAGCATCAACTACTTCACAGCCACCAGGGAATTCTCAAAGGAGAGAGCAGATCTTCCCCTGTGGGTCTCTGTAAAAGTTCCCTTTCTTTTTCCTAGAGCTTCCCTTTAAGATAACGACATCTTATTTCTGAATAGTCTTCTACAGTTATTCAGGTGATTTCTTTTGACTTTCACAGTGACCCACTGTGGTAGCTATGATTATCACGCTCTCTTCCTCCCCAATACACACACTTCACAGGTGAGGAAATGGAAGCCAGAGAGGTAACGTGACTTGCCCAAGGGCATGAGCTAGTGAGTGTCAGAGCCCAGATCTGAATCTTCAGTCATCTCACTGCAAATTTGGCTTTCCCTTTGAGCTGAAGTCAGTGGCCACAATTCAGCAGACATTTATTGAGCACCTGTGGTGTGCCAGGCCCTACTCTGGGTTCTGAGGTGACAGAGGCCAAAAAGACAGGGTCACTGCTCTTAGAGGAGTTTATAGTCTGGGGGAGGGGGTGTTGGTGGTGTGGGGGGGTGGGGCAGTAGGGTGGGAGGCAGCCTGTTATTTGGTGTGATACAGATCTCAATGAGGGGTGAGCAAACCACATACCTCCGGCCAGCACAGAAGGGATGGAAAAGTCGAAGTCAGTCACCTCCAAAGCCTTAGCTCGCCAGTCATTTCACAAACTCTGATAAGTGCTTCATTCTGTGTTGGAAACGCAGGAGAAATCAGTTGCCCGTTAGACTAAGTAATTGTGAATGATTGCCATGAGCTGTCTCCTGTAAAAAACAAGGTTGGTAAACCCAGAAGGTCCACAAACACAGACAGGAGAATGCTAGAGGGTTTTTTTAGAGCTTCCACCAGGATTAATTTGAAACTGAATCTAAGCCAATCTTGGTACCTTTTGTTTCTCCTTTCTCTCTTTCTGTTCTCCCCCCACCACCCCCCTTTTGGCAAATTATCTCTTTGCTCTGTCTTCCTGGGAGCCTCACCTTGGCCCACTCCTTTCTCTCTCACGGAAAGGCGGGGTTTCAGCTACTCCTGCCAATTTGATGGAGGTTTTCAACGTAAGGTAAGGATCCAGAGGAGCCCCCTTGGGGTGCAGTCATGCCTATGGAAAGGGGGTACCGGATTTGAGAACTGTCAGAGGTTGGTTTCTCACTGGAGGCTGTGTTGGGGATAGCCAAGGGGGTCGTGACAAATAATAGCAAATAATAATTGCTAATGAAGCCACCTCCTCAGAGCAGGCCTCTCCTGCCACCCTTGTCAAAGCAGACATTCAGTCACTGTATCACACCACTTAGTTTGGGTCTCTGCAAATCCCTTATGACTTTTGGACATGTTTCTAATTGTTTATTGTCTTTCTCCCCTTCTTCTGGAGTGTGAACTCCATAAGAGCAGAGACCTTGTCTGTCTTGTTCACTGTTGTAGCTTCAGCGCCTTCCACAGTGTCTGGCACATGGTGGGCGTTCAGTGTACCGCATGTGTCAGGCATTGTGCTAAGCCTTTGCATACGTTGTCTCATCTAATCCTTACAGCCACCCTATGCGATGGGCACTTCTGTTATGCTTGTTTTAGAGATGAGGAAACTGAGGTATGAAGTGATTAAATAAGTTACTCAAGCTGCAGGGCCTGGGAGTGGTAGAGCTGGAGCTGGGATCTGATCTGACAGCATAGCCTGGGTACCCAAGCACTTGACAGGGGTTATTGGTGGCAGGAGGGCCATTTGGTGCCAGTTGTAACTGCAGAGCTTACTATAGCCCAAGGGATGGCACGCTTGTCTGTGTACCTGTCCGCCCACCTCCTGAAAGGCTGTGGAGTTTCTGTCAGCTGTGTTGCAGCTCACAGGTAAAGGGCCATGGGGGTGACTCACGCTGGCTGGGCTCAGGTGGAGGCTGGTATTCCAGGCAGCGTGTCTGTGCTCGCTGGGCTCTTTAAAATGGGTCCTTTCCATCTACCTCTGGATCTTGCGTCTTTAATCACCCGCACCCATCTGCAGAGATCAGCAGAGGCCCAAATCATGGGGCACAGGGTTTCTATGTCTCCACACATGGAAGGCTCCAGAAGGCACCCTGGATGAGATGGAGGGACTAGTGGTCTGGGGTAGGTAGGCAGGGTACCATGAGCCAGTTTATAAGGTCACCGACCCCTCCAGCAGGAGCTAAGCCTCCCAATATGGAGGTACTGGCTGTTGTAGGCCTTCGTTGAAAGCCTCAGAGATGCCAAGGTTTTAGACACCACCCAAGCTTCGCTCCCGCTCTTGCCCCTCTCCTTCTCCTCTGTAGCATGGGCATGGCCCAGGGCTTGGCTGGGCTGGCATCTCTTCCCCTTCTCAGACTGGCCCAGTTCTTGGTTTCTTGGCGGAGGAGATTGAAAACAGAGACCATCCAATCATATGTGACATAATAATTATATTCACAATAATAGTAAACAATGATGGCTGCTATTCATTTCATGTTTGCATTTTGCAAACACAGTGCTAAGATTACCTGTGTCATCGGATAGTATTGCTCTGAGACTGGCAGACCTGGGTTGAAATCCCCGCCCAGCCGCTTACTGGCTGTGTGATGTCGGGCAAGGGACTTAAGCTTTCCTCACCTGTTTCCTCACCTGTAAATGATTATAAAAATAGTATCCCCCTCATGGGCTTTATTGTGAGAATTAAATGAGATAATGTATATGAAGTGCATTGTGCAGCGCCTGGCACAGAGCACTCAGTAATTGTTAGGAAAGCTTCTTTTCCCCTCATTTAGTTCGTATTTAAACTCAGTGAGGAAGCTGTTACCTCACTTTACAGGCAAAGAAACAGATTCAGAGGGGTTAAATGATTTGTCAAAAGTCAAAAGCTAATTAAGTGAAAGAGTTGAGATTTGAACCCACATCTTTCTGCCTCCACTCTTGTAGAACTAGACTAAGTTAGGAATTATCCTGGGTTCAAGTTCTGCCCAACCGCTGGCCGCTTGCCAGCTAGCTGTGTGACTGGGTAAATCTCTTTTCTCAGAGCCTTGGTTTCCCTCTCTATAAGACAAGATTAGTGAATCACTGTAAGGGCGGAGGTACATATCGTCACCTAGGTTTTCTTTTCTAGATTAGTTCTGGAAAAGAAATATTCCTCCTCCAGACTTCGTGATCTGCCCCCCTGGAAGATAGCACAGTCCTTCATTCCTCCCTCTGCTTTCCAGGGTCATGACTGCCCGTGAGCCACTGTTCCAAAAGAGTGTGACATTCTTGGCATGTTGGGGAGGAGTAAAGGTTAGGACCACTGAGTTAAGTGAGTGCTGAGAGCCAGGGCTGCTTTGTACATCTGTGAAGGTTGTGCACTGCACAGTCACAGGGCTGTTTACAGCAGGAGACTTGCACTATTGGGCATGATGGTCCTGCTAACAGCCCTTCCTTTTCTAACACATTAAAACTTCATGGTTGGGCTTCCCTGGTGGCGCAGTGGTTGAGAATCCGCCTGCCAATGCAGGGGACGCAGGTTCGAGCCCTCATCTGGGAAGATCCCACATGCCGCAGAGCAACTAAGCCCATGTGCCAAAGCTACTGAACCAGCGCTCTAGAGCCCACAAGCCACATCTGCTGAAGCCCACACGCCTAGAGCCCAGGCTCTACGAGAGAAGCCACTGCAATGAGAAGCCCACGCACTGCTACGAAGAGTAGTCCCCGCTTGCCGCAACTAGAGAAAAGCTCGCACGCAGCAACAAAGACCCAACGCGGCCAGAAATAAATAAATAAATAAATTTATATATATTAATAAAAACTTCATGATTATCCCAAACTTAATGAAAATTTGTTGGCATATATAAAAATATAGAAAGGACAAATACCCAAATGTCAACAGTGCTTCTCTGTGGGTGCCAAAATGATAGGATTTTAATTGTTTCCCTATCTCCCCTCTCCCACCAAATTTTCTGCATTGATGGTGCTTTTGTAATTAGAAATTCTAAACAAGGCCCCAGTGTAAGTGTCATTAAGCCAAAATAAATGCCCTTTGACTCAATGGTCATCATGTCCCTATTCTTCCTGGAGTAAAGATGGAGATAAAGATAGTAAAAATTCAGTCCTTGCTCAGAGCTTCCCTGTGAGGTCCATGGATAGAGACTGGGGGGCTGTCCAACCTGCAGGCTCTAGTCAGCTCAGGAATCGGATCTTAATTAGAATTATTATCATTTGCTGAGCACTTACTCTATGACACTGTCTTTAGATGCTTTATCTCACTCCTCCCTGCATTATGGGATCGCATAATTCATCCCAGACAGAGATTGGCAAACTCCTGGAGACTGACCAGGTTACTAAAGGAGTAACTCTGGAGTCAACTGCCCGAGACCTTGGACAAGAAACTTCACCTCCTCATTACCCACGTTTCCTCCTCAGTGACATGATCACCGCGAGGATTAAAGGAGATAACCCAGTGTCCTTAGTACGTGCCAGACACAGTCCAGGAGCTTTATTGCGTATCATGTAATTCTCTTGAGTCCTATGGAGTAGTTGTCATAATTATCCCCATCTTACAGAAGAGGAACAGACTCAGAGAGATGAGGTAACTCATCTAAGGTCACTTGGCTATCTACTTAGTAACAGAGATAGGATCAAAGCAACCTCTACCTGACGCCAAAACCATGGAAACGGTCCTTTCAGTCTCCTGAGTTCCTCTCTGGAACAAAGCCTAAGATGGATGGATGGATGGATGGAAGGAAGGAAGGAAAGAGGGAAGGAAGGAAGAAAGG